CGTGTTGAGGAGATGTCAAGTGTCATTGGGGTCTATAAATGTTGATATGTTTCCTGATTAACTCATACCCATTTCGGAATGTCGAAATCAACTGAGCAATCCAACGAAGGACCCGGCTCCACCGGGGGGATACTTGGATCAGTTGAAAGGGTGAAAACCGGCGTGAAGAGAAAGATTGTGTATTGTTTTCGCGTGTACTCATTAAAAACATCATTTACGTGTACGCTCCAATACCGTGATTTGTGTAAAGACCTGCGCACTTTCATTTCCGCTATCAGCATAGCGAGGTCGGAGACAGCATGTAAGTTTTACAGTAGACGTTCTTCCTGTTTGTATGTGTGGTTATTGTAACATTGATTTGTATCAATTAATTAATATGATTATGAATAAATTGTTATTTTTATTTTATATCGTTATCTTTTTGTCATTTATCGACTGTTTATATAAGTTGTTGATTTTTCCGACAGTCAACGTATTGATAGCCTCATATTTGACCAAACACTTTACCAAGCTTTATGCCAAACATATGAACTCGCTTAACTCGAATACTCGGATAACTCGAAGTTTTCCAGCGATCCCGTCGACTTCGAGATAACGAGGTTAGACTGTACAAACATTTTACATTCAAACACTTAGATTACTTGTAGATTAGTTAAATGTTAAAAGGTGGCGAAACTGCCTGCACATTTGAGCAAAACCATGGAAGGCCTGATGACGTCACAAATGTTGCTGCGTGACGTCATTCAGGCGTGTTTACAACAATGTTTATTTATTTAAGCAATAAACTGTGTAGATGTGGCAGACGAACTAGTATAACTGCCACATGTGTCACAGACAAACTGAATGGTGCGCGCCAGTTGGTCTGCCACATCTATGCAGTTTATTGCTTATATTTATATTCCGTAATGAGAATTCGAAAAAAAATATTTTTGTCTTTTCCAACTTTCAGATTTCCCGCTTATTACCACATCGTCAATATATATTGTATTCAACAGATCTATTGAAAGGCATTGCGTTCCTGGTAAATAAATGGTTATAATACTTTGAAAAATACTGAAAGTTATCTAAACCATCGATAAAATATACGGTACAAGTACAAAAACAGGTCACATGGCCACATCAGATCTTGCAATCATTAATTTTATTGATTGTCATTTATGTGGCGTTAGAAAACCTATAACAGCAAAATAGAACAAGAAATATACCCCGTCCTGAACGAATAGTTCACAACACTACGGCGCAGTAACAATTGCGTCCTATATATCGAACCCGTCCACACACACACACACACAAACATTTCCCATTCAAATATTAATACGTTTACTTAGAGAGTAGCTATTTTGTTTGGACGTGAACAGGTTTTTACCAGAATACTTATATAGAATGTTAGCATAGCTATGTTAAGCTTGAGTAAGGATTAAACGTCAACCTTATACAAAATCATATAAAATCTGATAAATATGAACTGTTGTTTGCGTATACAAATCAGCCTATGATTGCCTACCGAGTCTCGCTGATCCACCCCTATGTGTTGTCATTGTTGAAAGCTCCCAATTTCGGCCGTGAATAAGATCACATGACCAATCTGACGACGCTTATGTGCTAAAAGACCCCACTGACCTTTCTAACTGCTTGTCGATTCGGGTAAGTACATATACACCAGAGTATATTTTTGTATATACTATTTTCAATGAAATACAGGAATGTATTTAGACAACATTTCGTAGTTTTAGTACTCGCTTCACATATATTTAAATATCTGTTGCTTATATTTGGTTTCAAATGCTTTGATAAATATGTGATTTTGCAACGAAAATGAATAAGCTACATTATGATACTGTTGGATAAATTTAAACTTTTACAACAGATACGTAGTAGGCTTAGCTAATGTTCTAATAAAAACGTATTTATGCCATTGACCCGTTACCATACCACTGGCCGATGTAGGAATCTCGAGCTGTTGGAGGAAATAATGTAAGTTTAAAGTTATACAAAAGTATGACCTGATGTCTAATTCAAGGCTAACACAGTTCCACTTTGACTAAACATTGTCTACCGGTTTCGCAAGTCTGGTTTATATTTAAACATATTTCGAACATTTCGAAATACCCGAGTCACATGAGGGTATTGTATGGTTATATAAGCTGTGCTTTATCATTTCCCTTGTATCATTTGGTGTGTACGTTCAGTGAGGTTTGCGTTAGCTGAAAAAGGTAAGTAAATTACTGACATATAACTTCAATAAGATTTATCAACCTGGAAAAATGTACAGTATGTTTCATAGCTTTACTTAATACACAGGAAAAGTGCATATCAACCACGACGTGACGTTTCAAGACCGTCTTGTCCCTTTGTCAAGCTACAACAGAGATCTTCACCCATAGATTTACAAAGATACCAGTCGGTCTTGAAACGTTACGACACTTTTTATATGTTCTGGACATTGTTTGTGTATAAAGTAAACTGTTAGTACAACAATTGAATATTTATTGTGATTTTTTTTATTTATTTTTATGAAAATGGTGTTAAAAGTTCTGAGCATAAATGGTTGAAGGTAACCATTGTTTCGTATGACGCATAAGCCCGAATAATGTTATTAAACGAGGTTACACAGCGGTCAGGACCCTCTTGTTACTGATTCAATATCATATGACAAGTTTATTTGTGAATAATTCATTAGATAGCCTGTTCCGGTTAATATGCGAAGTCAGTACCTTTGTTTCAGTCAATATCGTCAGGTCGATCCTTGCCATAGACATGTTGAGCTAAGGTGTGTCAAACATCGCACTATTTGAACATTTCCTGATTTATGTTTAAAGTCCTGTGATTTGTGTATAGTGTAATATATATAAATATCGACTCTCTCATCTCAGAGTGCGATGCTAATTTAGTTCAATTTGTTGAAACAAGTGTAAATACACTTATATCAATCTGTTACCTTTCATCGTTTCAATTTGAAACAATAAATCTGTCCAGCTTTTACTTGATCTACATCTTATACGCAGACATTAACGGAAAACGGAATTATATTTATCAACGATGATTGTTAGATATGATATAGTGAATATTGTGATTTATGGTTAAAATATTGTTGTTTGTAAATGGATTTGCAATGTGTATTATTTTATTTATTTGATAAATCTTGTATTTGATATTCGAAACCATGTTGCTTCTTATCTAAATTTAGTTAAGATATATTCATATCATAAGATTTGAAATTAAATACAAAAGCTTTCGAAAAGAAAAAAGAAAGATTTTACGAACACGAATCATATATTCTTGTTATCCAGATTTTAATGACGTATATCTAGGTTCAAATTTAAAAAGTATGATTTTAAATATAAATCACAGAATTTACAAGCAAAAAGTCCTTTACTTTTATTTGACGTGGAGTGAAATCATCTTTGATACCAATATATGGCGATATAATATAGTCCACAAGAAAGGAACGTTTACATGTAACAAAGTTTCCTGTAGTTTACCTATAAACATTGGTAATGGCATTTGAATAGGTAGACGTATACGGTAAGTGTTATTGATAGGATAGATATTCATTCGTTTTTCGTTTGGCCGATACCTTACCGTCCGAGGTCTGGTACACGACGTGTCGCAATGTCTCGTGAGAATCGTTCTATAAGGCTATGTCATCTATGAGCAACGGTCACCGCCTTGTCACTGCGGTTGTGAAGTGGTGAAACGTGCCAATGAAAACACGCCCATTTTTAGGCCTGATATTTTCCCCATGTACCCTACCTGCATTGATAGGCGCGTAAGAGCACTCGGATGTGACGATTTGCCTTCGTTCCATAAATTTCGAACAGATAATACCCCTTTTTTTTAAACATATCAAGTGTTCTATTGTTTCTTTTTTTTGTTGATAATATATATGAATTGTACAAGATGATTATATCATATACAGGTATTTTTTTTAGCTATTTCCGACATATTCATAACATATTCAGATTTCGAAATAACCAAGTCACATTTGGGTTTATAATTTTGTAATTACGTAAGATATCATTTAGTGTGTACACTCCTTGACATACTCTGAAAATTGGAGCCATTTAAAAGCAAATGTGTATTTAAAATAAATTAATATAGATACAGGAAACAACAAGGTCAGGAAGGGGGACGCATTATAAATCATTTTCTGTGCAAAGGAAATTACAACCTTATATCATATATATGAGAAATTGTAGACACGGACGACTTGACACGATAGCTATTAGGGGTGTCACAATACGCCAAGAGTGTATCTCGATATATTGCAATACGGAATGAATATATTGCGATACGTATCCCGATATATTGTCATAGGAAAGATGTGCTCGATTTTATAATAAGTTGTTGTCAGAATTTTATCAAATTTAATAATATATATTATACATAATATGGATCACATAGATTTAAGATTTTTGTCAAACCAACCATTGATTACAAAATTTTAACTAATTCCCAGCACTATTAAAAGCCTGCGTCATGCTAATTTGTATATCTGTTAGAATGTGTTGCAATTTGCAAAGTTAAATTACCAAGCAGAATGAGATACATAAAAATAAGCTTTTAAAAAGATATTGCGACACAGTAATATTTCATCTCTGTATTGTTATACAATACGATATACCCGTGTATTGCGATATACCTATTTTCCGATATATTGTAACAGCTCCAATAGCTATACAAAAATAGGAATACATACATATGCATGCGGAGCTGGATTAGGTCGATTACCAGGAACATATACATGTAGCTTACATATATAGAAAAACTGTTCCGGGTTCGAACATCGGCATAGCCGTTAAATTTCAACCTTTGTTACAGCTAAAGCTGTATCAAAAAGACTTTGAGAATAGTGGTATACCAGCTGATCCCCAAAACATTATATCTACTGCCTGGATCACAGCATGACATGTCATGACCGAGTAATTAAAACTTAGAGTCACAAACTGTTCTTTTGCTGTGCAATAAGCTTATTTCATTTTTAAAACTCATTATTTCAGGTCACGTCTGATCGGTATATGAAGATAATGACGGCCATGTTGGTTTTGCTGGTGTTGACAATCGTCTCCCCTTGCTGTGTTTTGGGATACTCAACCTTCCAGACACGTATTCCAAATGGAGGTATAATCCGTGACCCATGTGATGGAGAGACCATATGGCAAGGCGTCGGTCATCAGGCTGTGGGCGGTGGCGGACCCAGAAACCCTTTTGGACTCGACTTCTACAATAATGAAAAGGTAGGGAGAATTTTTTTGACAATGATAAAAATTGTTTCCTTTATTTCCTGAGTTTTTATTAATTTTATCACTTTATTGAGGTATCAATAAAAAAAAGTCAGCACAAACAAATTAAAACTTCCATCAACATATAAAATTGAAATATATCGATTTAGTCTTGTTCTACTTTAAATCTACTTATCATTTCCCTTGAACAATTCTCTGCATTTGGAGACATGTTGATATTGTAAAATTATCAAAGATGTTTACCTCCCATGGACATTGAAGAAAGTTTATTGTGGTCAGAATGCTCTAACATCAACTTGTGACATTTTGGTGTCTGCGGAGATTGAACTGTAGATTGTGATATGCCCTTGATTTAGCGAAAGATATTCTGACGATAGCCTTATGAGTTGCTTAAAGCAATTTTTCAAAACTCTTAATGTTTTCCCTCAATTTGTTTCTGACTTCGATAGCACTTACATGTTGTTTGAAGTTTTTTTCCGTTTATTTTGAATTGACCTGATTCCTGAAATGTGTTATAAATTCAAACATGTTCACACATATATAGTTACTTACATAGAAGTCAGGAGAAATATGTGAACTGCAGAGATTAAATATCACAGGCGGGTTTCACAGAGGCGAAACTTCAAGGTCATATGAAAACTTGGTTGATTTTTTAAAACTTCATTTTCTTCATATTTATGAATGTTTTATCAAAAACATGTTACAGCTGCTCACCAGGACAATATAAAAAATAAGGATAAAGAAGTTGAATGTTGAGTAGTTCACCAAGATACTAAGTTTAATATAATAATAATAACAATGATAAATAGGAACACTTTTTTGGGTTTACTTTGAACCGAAGTGGGAGCATTCCATATTTTCTTGTATCTAACACAATATCTTTAATACTTTATAAATAATATTATCTTAAAACATTATGGTTAACACATGTTCACTTTAGTTTACTAAATAAATAATCTACTCCAGAAGATTATTCAAGTATTATAAACAATATGATGGTTTAACAAATGAATGACCTGGATACGTACAGTGCCGACCAAAGGTAATTTTTTCCTTTGACTGATGAAGATGAAGATAATAAAACAATGAATATATCGATATAAAAAGGCAGATCCCCTCATCATTAACCAGTGTCATAAATATTGAAATACATTATGCATAAGCATTGTTAAATAGTTTTTGTTTCACATTTGGAAAGTGTGTCCTTTTTTGTCAGCAGTTCATGGTGTTTTGTTTGCACACAAAGGTCATGAAAAACAGTTGTATTTGTTTTCAGCTATGACCTCAATTACCTACCAGTTCTGGGAATGATGGGCCTGATATATTTTTACCCTCCCCTCTAAGAGTGAATCGAATTAAATATGGTCTCATTTTTGTCATCATCTGGTTAAGTTGTCTTAGAATCTTGAAATTACTCTCGACCTTCATGAAAAGCTGTCATATCTATCTATTTTCGATATTATATTGATTACCAGTTACTATGCAGACGGTTGTTCCCTACTTTTATGAAGCCGTTTCAGAAACAAAATGCGAAAGAGAAGTTATTCTCCATATATTATATTCAAGAAATACATAAATCATAAGTTTGTTACACAAAGCAAATAAATGGACACTGAATTGTATATATAATCTTTACAAAAAATATGCATCATAAAATATGTATCTCTTTCCATATCACAACAGAAATGGAACCGTACCTTGTGTGAGATGGACTCAGATGGAGACGGGATCTCTAATGGGGCTGAGCTTGGTGATCCCCTCTGTGTGTGGACTCCGGGTTCGAATCCAGCCAACACGCCCACTGGTCATCCAGGTATGTTAACATGTATTTATAATATAAACATTAAGGTGACATGTACAAGGGAAATATTTCTACAAGTATATGTATTTAAAGTATAAATGGATTATGAATTTTTCGTAAACATAACCTAAAATATGGTAAGCTATTGCAAAGTATCAAATCAACTAGAAGAAAATATTAAGTATTCGCATGCGCGTAAAAAACGTACACATATTCATGTTTGAGATACATATTAGATACATCTAATCGAAAGAGAGCGTAACAACCATGACGTGGTCGAAGATGATGTATTTTAGTCTCGCTACATGTTTCTATTTGTTTCTGTATGAGGTGGGTTTTTTTTCTTCTTCTTTCGGAATTTTCTCAGAAACCAATGGTCGGATGGATATCAAACTTGAGTATGGGTTGGCATGTGTATATATGCGTAATGCGATTCATTTTCCCCTTTTGTTGTCAAACATGACTGCCCATGCCCATAATTGATTGAAACTTTTATGGACGTACGTCATGTTGATGCCAACGGTCCCTCTCTTTTCCTGGTTTTCCATAAACATAGTATGTGTTGTATTATGGCATTGTGAAGTGTTTCATCATTGAATCATTTGCAACTACAGCTCGGGGCGATTGTGTAGACATACGTAACCATCCCAGTTACAATTAGAACTTATTATCTCAAACATATTGTTATACGTGATCGTATAGTGCTTGAAAACATTTATTGACATTTACAAGATCAAGTGTTTACATCGTTGCAAAAACGTATTTTAAATCACGAAGTGTTTTAGATGATATTATGGGCTTTATTGTATTATGCTGTTTATCGTACTGACTAATAGATATTGAGTGTCAATGTGGATTACGTTTTTTTCTTAGGTTTTATTTTTCTCATTTATTATAATATATTGTATTTCAACATCTGGTTCAATGTGTCATCATATTAATATAATCACCTCATAGGAAACCATTTCGTTGAAAGGGTTCTGTTGCTTCACAAAATGTCTGATACAATATTTGAACTATTGATATAGACATTAACCATGTCATTAAGAACAAAATGGATTAAACTATCAATATATTTGTTGTAACAGGATTATGTGAGCCATGGAGCGATCCGATGTGTTTAGAAAAGAATACGTTTTATACTTGTCAAACGAAGGAACTCGACTGTGACGCCACCAACAGTCCAGGTAAGGTTCTAAAATGGCTTCCTGTATGTTACCGCTTATACCAGGGAAGGGTTTTAAGGGCGTACGGGAGTAACGTTTAAACATGTTGTTATGGGATAAACTGCTCTTTAATTTCAGTATCATTCGCGTTAAGCGACATTGTTCATTAATTATGTACCGCAATAAAAAGTGTACGTGCAGAAGAAAAAAAAGGTGCCAATCTGTGTGTACTGCAACATCGTGTGTCGTGGTGCAAATATTAATAGGGAAAACAATGTCATTGTGTACATGTAGCTGTTACCGGTCATGGAAGGTAAATGCACCAGGTACATTTAAAAACCAAAACAAGACAGAGTTTTTGGAAACTCGTTAAGTATATTTGGGTGTAATTATGTCACATGAGTGTGATATTACAGTTAAACATTATTTAAAGGTATTGGTTATGCATGTACAATTGAGCACACCAGTAAAATATGACTTTCCAAGTGATATATAAAAGTGATGTTCAATGTGAACAAATGGGTGTAACACAGGTTACGGGTTGACCTCTTTCAAGCATTGACAAAATAATGAGCTTTGCTATATTGACACTTAATTATTGACCCGATAAAACAAAAACTACTCAGACTCTCATAAGCATTGCTGTTATCCGTGGAAATTCCAGGAGCGATAATTTCCTTAAGAGGGAGTATGGCATCCTGCTCACATGCAAGCTGCTTCTTACCAACTTGGCTAGGGAGCATTTCACTTCAGCACATTTGGTAGAACGTTAGACAAGTAATTGAGATGCTCCTGATTCGGTCCCTATTAGAGGCGTCCCGAAATAATAACACTTGTCACATTCAATTCCTTTATTTCAAGATGACAAAAACAATATGCGCCGTTTGAAAATGTTTGCACTAATGTTTTAAGAAATATTGCGCCTAAAAAATAATTATTATTCAAGCAAAACTTCTCTGAAGATTTCCTTTTTACTGCTAAAATACTAGGTATTTTGTTAATGTTGTAGATGTTAAAGAGTTATCTATCACCTTTCCAAAGTCAGCGGTTCCTGCAAAAGAAACAAGTTATATGTGCATGAATTTTGCCTTTCCCGCTGACCATGACTACCACGTGATCGCTGATAAAGGTTTAATTGACAACGAATTCGTTATGCATCACATACTTATCTACGCGTGTCCAACTGATGGTTAGTATCTTGATTCAAATACTATATTTTTCAAGGCTGAATGATCATGTATCACACTAGATTCATTATCGATACTGCGTCATTAACCCAATGAGCTCAATACAGACAACATAATGTTGTTGTTTTTGTTATCTGTTGCCATGTCGAACATTGATCCGTGATATGATACAACGTTAATTGATAATATAGTCTTGGTAGAACAGACGCGCATTTGACAGAATATTAAGCCAAATGTCTTCTGCTTGCAAAAGATATTTAATTAAAATGCCATTTAGACACCATCTTATATATAAATATTTACCATTAACTATTTCTGTTTAAAGTCTGATACTCACAACAGATCATATTTTTGAGATGGCCGTGTCTTCTTTTAATTTTCAAAAGTTTCATAAGGTTAGGAATATGCCATATTTGAAATACTAAATAACATCGTTCTGGACACCCTTCTCATTGTAGTTGAACTCGAAGATCTGGTCAACCCATTGAACACCCCCTACGTTTGTGGTATGGCGGGAGAACAACGATGTCAGGAAATCATTGGCATGTGGTCCGTCGGCATACCTGGTTTCTGTCACAACGAAAACGCTGGATTCAAGATAGGAACCACTGGATACAAATATGCTTCAATGCAGGTACGTTAGTAAAGTAAAAGACACGTACAAAAACGAAAGCAGCAAAGTAACATTAACTTCTTACTCGTAGACGCTTGTCAAGTGTGTTTCAAAAGTGTGAATTGTCATATGTGTTTTTATTGGCATTATGTGTTCCCAATGGCTTCCTCTTTAATGCAATAGTTATCTGAGATACGTTTTCCCAAACTTTGTAGATGCATTGGAACAATCCATCGTTGAGAAGTGATTACGAAGACAGTTCGGGAATGACCCTGTACTACACTCCAGTGTTACGGCCTTATAATCTCGGAAACTTGGTTATAGGAGAATATCAATTCAGTATCCCACCCGGAGAATCTCGTCATGTCATAGAGTCGGAGTGCAGTTCCACGTGCTCTGATCGAATCATGACTAGCTCTGTAAACGTCGTCAGTGGTCTGAACCACATGCATTACATGGGTAGGTAGATGCATGCAACCACTCCTGTTATTTACCCGTGCAGGTTCCGGGAAAGAATAGGCCTGCTGTATCCCACTACATGATCGTAAGAGGCGACTGCAGAACAGGGCTGGCTTCTTCCTTGTCTTCTTTTCAGGGGACATTGAAGAAATTAAGAATATACCTGATATATCCCACTGCATGGTAGTCTAGAGGTAGGACTCAGGGCTCATGACCGAAGGGATGCGGGTTCGAGTCACGTCACGGCACTGTGTTGTATCTTTGAGCAAGATACTTCACTCTGCTTGTTCCAGTCGACTCACCTGTAAATGATGACGTGGCTGGGCAGTGCTAGCTATGAGCACTAAAATGGCAGCTCCGGCTGTATGCTCTTCCCATGGAGTTAAGGGGAAAACATTGGCTGGTTGCAAAGGCCCTATAACCACGGATAATAACTTGTGAACCGCTTTGAAACGACTTGCGAACTAGGTTGTGATAAAACGTCCTCATATGGACCTGGCTGTTGTGAGGACGTTACACCCCAAACAAACAAACTCCTGTTATTTTGCTTTGAAATATCTACAACTAATTGATTCAAAAGTGTAGTTTAATTAACAGTTCTTATTGGGAATTTGACGTATAGTCAATCAATTTATTTAGCATCTGATTTGAAATCTGTTGAACTTAATCAGCATTGTTCATAACTGTTTGGAAACAAGTCGTGTGTATTAGATTATCTTTAATATGATAAAGTTTTATACCAATAATAAACAAGCTTACCTATCACACCAGGCGATTTTAGTTAGGGATCCTCGTAACACAACCAAAAACTGTAACAGGTTTTGGAAATTGTTTTTTTTCCCCGACATGACTATAGCTTTGAAAATGAATTTCTGTGATGAAAATGAAAAAAATAAAAATATTATCAACCAAAGTGTTCTGAGTGTACAAAAAAGCGGTGCTAGACAGGGATTCGAACCCAGGACTTCAGACTGTTCTGCTACTGCTCTAACCGATAAATTGTTAAACAGAGATAGAATATAATGATCTTTATTTCTATAGGTACTATTTTGTATGGATAATTTCTGTATAAATACTACCAGTTGTGTTTCCCAAGGTTACTTTTCTGAATGCTTGCCCTTTTGTAATTAATAACTATTAATATAATAATTCGAGGTTCTTATATAACGTGTTATCACAAGCTAGCTCGTAGGTCGTCTCAAAGCGGTTCACAAATTATTGTCCGTGGTTATAGAGCCTTTGCAACCAGCCAATACATTTCTCAACTCCCTGAGGAGCATACAGCCGGAGCTGTCATTTCGGCGCTAACAGCTAACATTCAACACTTCTAGCACTGCCCAACCACGTACTCATTTACACCTGAGTAGACTGTAACAAGCGGTGTAAAGTATCTTGCTCAAAGATACAACACAGTGCCGTGCCGTGACTCGAACTTGCAACCCTTCGGTCAGGAGCTCTGCGTCCTACCACTTGACTACCGTGCCTCCAATTGTACCCTTCATGTTCTGCATTGGTGAATATTCATACGACCGGCACGTTTCGAAAACTGATTGATATACAAATACATGTTTTTTTAATTTGAGTATGTATCAAAGAAAGAAATTACATTTACACACGACCCCTATCTAGTCTTTAATTTCCACCATGTACAACAGAAAGAAATATGATTTATTCATGTATAAAAACAATGTACTACAAATACGTATGACAAAGTATAATCGTTTACGACAAGGCCTTAGTCCATCTTTTGGAACGGCTTCGCTTTCATCCAGCATCCATATTAAAGAGTCTCGTTTTTAATTGTTTCTTCCATTGCGTTCAAATACATACGTATGCCATTTTTTGATACGTAAATAGATGGTACATAGTGCACATGTAGTTTTCTGTACATACTGTTAAATAGAGTTATGACTCCTTCCTTACTTAAAGTAAAAGCGTCATGTGAGCAATACATGTAGCAGTCATCCCGCAATACTATAAATACACTGTATACTTACTTTAGCGCACTCAAATTTTAGCGCATTATTGATTTTTTTTACATATTAGCTCATTGACGGATTGGCGTACAAAAAAGATATGTTAAAGAAAACTTTTGATAGAAACCTCATTTGACGCATTCAAAATTTATAGCAATATTTTACAGCAGGAAAAGCGCTAAGATAAGACTAATTGGTTTACGTACAGTAGAGGTTTTACCACCAAAACGTGCAAATGTAAAAATTTAAAAAAAATCATTTCGATCTTGCTCATTAACAAACCTCCTTTTTGTGCAAAGCAAAATACAATGACAAGTGAATTTAAAACCTGAATTTATTGGAAACAGTAACAACGTGTTATTTTATTCATAAATTGATTAAAATAAAGGTGACGTCATATTTTCGAAATATGTCCATTATAATCACGATTTTAGAATTGAAGATGTTAAACCTGGCTGCAGTTTCACTGTTTTTTTCACACATTTGTTTTATAGGTAGGGAAATGACTACTTTTCACACACCCACTGGTGGTGCTGAGCGGGCTATAATGGCTGACCCTCATTATAGTTATGATAACCCCAAAGTTCACACGTAAGTATTTACAAAGTTGTTTAATTCACAAAACCTTGTTCCATTGCAAAATAATCTGCATGGTAATTTCCTGTTTTAATCATATCATGTATTGCTCATAAATGTAACTTTAAAACGATAAAGTTACATGTTTACGTACTAAAGAATCGTGGTCGATTAGTCGAGTTAAATGTAGTTATTGCAGAAATATCTTAATCATATACACCATGTATGGGTTATCTATGTCGTTTGATCTAGATTTTTCTGTTATTTAAATGAATCCCTATAGATACGAACTACAAAAACAATATTGACAGTTTTTTAAAGGAATCATGCTCTGGTAAAAAATACAGATTTAAACTCTTCTTATCAATTTATTTAAAATATCATACTTATTGCTTTAACTGTAAAACAATAATGCAAGTATCAAATATATTTTTTCCATGTGTTCTTTATAAGTAAATTTACATTACAAACATAAGATCAAATAATTATTAATAATCATTACTGTAACGTACATGCAACCAAGAGGTCATATTCGGCCAACTAGTCAATCTTTTCTATCATTTTTATTTTTCATGTTTGTATTTTTTTCGTCGTAAACAAGTAGTGTTTAACTCTACCGAGTTTTAAACGTACCATAAATTCAACGCTTTCCGAATTCGTATTTTCTATATGCACTGAGATAGCTCGATAAAATTTGATTTAAATTTGTATTAATACAAGATTACCAAACAAACATTTTCCCAAACTAACATTGCCTCATACAAGCGATCAACCTACAACACATAATAAAGGGAGAAATGTAAAGAAGCTTGTGCACGTGTACTTAAATGACCTTATCTGTTAATCGGACGATCAACACTATAAAACCAAACTAAATTCAAACATTTCCCCATTCCATTTAATGTATTTCATGTGCGCTTTTGTTGTGTTGGCTTAATGAATAAAACACTGTTTAAACTTATTCTTAACGGTAAACTTGATTTCCATGCAGCTTTGAGTCACCATTAGAAATCAAGAAAGGCGACGTGCTGAGGGCAAAGTGTTCTTTCACAACATCACAAAAAAACGTCACAACCTTCAGCGGAGAAGCAACTTCACAAGAAATGTGTTACGCATTTTTGTTTTACTATCCAAAAGAATCTATCAAGTCAACCCAATGCCTTACCGTGATGGGTTTGCCAGCTTGTTCGCTAAATCATGGAACTGACTTAATAGACGGATGCCAACTCAAGTCTTTCTTCGAAGACTATGCGTATTTTACACAAGTGTTTGCAGAGGTAGGTTGTATAATATGTTTAGGTCATAGTGAGATTTTATCAACACGAAAATAAATAAAGGAACACTGTATTGACCTGATATTAGTGAAAAAAGAAACATTCAATATTATGTTTTGTTCGTGACGTCACAACTCTCAGTTAAAAGCATTGTCATTGGTCGTCTATTTGTTTTAGATTGAATGTAATATAATATATTTACAAGACCCACAAATGCTGAGCAGAGAACTATCATTGGGTTCATTTGATCTTCAGGAATATATGCATTTATTCATATACGCATTTTATAATTTATTATTAGACAATTAAGGTATACGATTATTTGATCGTATTTGACATTTATATTTTGCATGAGAAATGGGAAGAAAATTGGCTCATAACTTGGGGGGGGGGGGGGGGGGGGGAATAAAGCAATAGTTTAGTATCAGATTTTTGTCCAAATGATATATTTTTCTTTTTTTCCTTTATTAAAACAACTAAACAAATGTAAATCACTTTCCTTAAACACTTACTATTATATATTTTTTTCATAATGTAAGCTAAACAATCATGCTGTCACTGACTTATAGTTTTTCTCGTAAAGATGATTTCTTGATAAAATAATTTAATAGTGTATTTTTCAGTGTCAAATACGTTCAACATATTTCAAACTTTATCAGGACTTCATCTTTCAACAGATTTTAACATACTTGTATTTTCAGCTCACCAAGCGATGTGAAACCTTCTTGTGCCGCAAGGAATGCAAAACCTACGTGCAGGAACTTAGAGAGAATCCTTGTTTCCAAGGGAGGGTAAAAGCATACGTCGATCGTGCTTTGAGCTCTTTTAATGGTGTAAATGAAATGGCTCTCTACCATTCCTGTGATTCCGAGCTCGCACTTGAGGCTGCAGGACCGTGTACATGTACAACAGAGTCACCAAGATCATGTGTAGAGTACACTGGAGCAGCTGTTTCTCACCAGACGTCGCTTTATCTGCTTCTGGTAGCTATGGCTACAGTATATTCAATGTAGCAGAAGTGTACATTTCCGTTCAAGTTACCGCACATATAGTAACCTCCTTCAAGTATGATTTCGCCAATACAGATGTATATACTTTCTGTTTGTTAAGGACACTAAAGAAATTTAGAATCGTGAAAAGATGCCCGAAAAACATAATTTCTCATGTTGACAAAATGTTCTAAACCTGTTGTTGATACACGTACTATATTACGTAAAACATTATTGAACCCCCTCTACAACAGTTGTGAATATAAAATATTGATAAATGTATAGTATACTGTTCTAGTGTCTTTCCCTTCCTCCTGAAATAGACATACATTTATGTATATGATAATTAAAATGTAATCGCTTTAATATGATCACTATGTGTTAAATTTAGTTAAACATTTTTGATGCTTCCAATGTAAACCTAGAGGACTGTGCACCAAGTAGCTTCTTACAATACATTGAAATCAAACATAAATCTGTGTTCATTATGAAGTGTAACTCATGGTAATTTCACTTCGATATAATCCAATTTTTTAACAGAAATAGTATTTCCCCATACATGTAATTTTGATACATGTACATCCCTAACAAGGACTATGGTAAGATAAACACGAGTCTTTACCTTGTAATTATAAGAAACCAACTGTACAAACAGCATCTCAATGTAAGATAGTAGATTTGTTGAATGGTTTTCTATGAAATTTTATTATTTTGTCTTCTGTAAATATAACTCAAAGGATAATAACATACTGGAACTACGTTTTACTCATATTGTTAACATGTTGATAATTGATAAATAAAATATTAATAACAGCAAAATGTGTTTGTCTTTCTCAATCAAGTCTTTTAGGAATTACAAAAACATTTGGAAAGTTGGAGTGCGTTGAAGGGGGTATTATGGTGCAGATCAAACGGTCTTAGCGTTTCGATTTGTGTATTCAACTGTCTTCTCAAATATATCACATAATCGTTACTGGAGATATAATGCATAAGGTATTATTAGATGATAGTTTGATGTATAGCGAGAGGTTTTGATATACAAATCGTGAACTAATCCGTCGCCATTTTGAGATGTATTCACCTAAGGTACGACCATGGTTCGTTTCGTTTCTTGCCTTCTAGTACTGGAACAGAAGGTAGCTATAGTTATGCCTCTCCACTCACAACAAGAACATCTCAAACAAGAAATGTGAGTGAAATGGCCACCCAAAGGGTGACATTTATATCTATTTTACTGATTAAGCCACTATAAATACAAAGTAGTTGCACACATACCAACCATGTTAGCAACTACAACCAAAATATAACTAAAAACCTTAGCTAGCCTAAGTGGGGTTGCCAAAAAACCGCCAACGCAACGCCATCGTTAGCTAGTCTTATTGGAGGTACTACTTAGAAACTATTAAGGTTTCTTGTTCCATAATATTGTAAATTAATGTTGCTTACTTGATAAAACCCTCACAAATCAAAAGCAGTTTAGATTAAATTGTTCAAAGTTGTTATTGTGTTATGAGCATTACTTAAGCTAATTCCTTAGCTGCCTTATATGGTTGTCCGGAATTAAAAACCAACGACAACACATAACATTTGTCTATGGTCATCGGTCTGATGAAAGTTGAAAGAAATTGGAAATATCTGAGTCACATATTGCAGTAGTGAAAAAATCACACACACAGTTCAGGTTAGAATTTCTATTACATGTTTTTTCTCGTTTTATTATTATTCCTTTTGCGACGAGGTCGGAGAAGAGAAAAAACACTCCATTCGTACGTATATATATATATACGTATAGTATTTGAACGTATGTTCGCATTTCATCATCGCTTTAGTTTGTGTTTCAGGATTCCAAAGCCAATGACTAGGTCACCGTTTCTTTATATAGATATTTGTGTTATCGATCTAGTGGTATAATTCCTGCATGGATTTAGATCTAACTAAACGTACTGGTCATCCATGTGATTACATCGAACAAGTTCATGTTTCAGCGGTCCATGGTTAAGGTCAGATCTCTATTGCTATTGATATTTGTTTTTATACCGCATTTATTCCTGCATATTTAAAAAAAAAAAAAATGAACGAGAATATAAGTTGTTTAGGTGCAAAGGTCAAGCATTAGGTCGCCATTAATATAGTAAACAATCTTTGTCATCGCTCTATAGCTAAAATCATTCATGCATGGAATTTGGTCAAAAGTCTATATAAGTCAAGTATCACAATATTTCAAATGAGTTTTTGTTTCTGAACGAATTTTTATGAATCATGTATTGTTTAAGCATAAGAATATCGTAAACGATTGCAGTTGCATAATTTAGACGTAATAAGGAAGTTGAATACACAATTGTAAACCACACGCAAGGGTATTTGTATCGTTTGTGTTGCATTGCGTTTTTTTTTTCTTTCTTTTATCAAATAACTTTTATGATATTGTAACGGACTTCAAAAAATCACATCATTCTGTCAGTCATTATGTGGCACGAACTACATATATATGCGGTTTACAAGTAACGATTTTGTAAGCGTTATGCATGTATTACAATATACACGTTATACTCCTATTTGTTTCCTATATCGTTAAACGTTCTGCACATTTTCTTTCATTTATATTTTACCTGTTTTGTTGTAATTTAATGAACTTTGACAATATTTTTTCGCCTATATACGTTTGGTGATTTTGTGCATTTCATGAAGCCTAAAGCGTTAGCTTTATGCGTTGTAAATATCACATTTGTCATAAGCGGATTCCGATCTCGCTATTTACGTGTTGCTAGCGTAGTCAGTACAGCAAGATAGCGGCAGTTAAGATGAGGCTCGATGTTTCAAAACACTGTTTTCCTTTAGAGCAGTAGATATATATTTTTTTGCGTTTTATCTTTGGTTGGTCAAGAGTACTTAGAGTTTGTCTCAAAGAGACAGTCGTTTATTTAAAAACAAAACAATGATGTAAACAAGTACTGATTGTAATGGGGACCATTGCAGATGTCCCCCAAACATTTCCGCTACTATGTTCGCAGTCGCAAAATACACCTACATACCAAATTTGAGCAAAAATATCCGTCAAACAGTTTTTGAGAAATGTGTCGGAAACTTTTAAGGCGGAAGAAAAAGAATAAAAAAACCGGAGTAAAACCAATATGTCCCCCACTTTGTTTGGGAGACACAATAACCTATGTTATCTCCCCATGCAGAAATACCTCTATCCATTCGTAAAGTTCAACATAGACTGGGAGGATAATTTTAGTTATAAACATGTAAGTCTTAATATAGCATTAATGATCCATTTCAATTTTAGCATCTTCTAAACACGAAACATGTAGTCTAGTATTTTGAAGAATAGAAATGAAACCTATATTTCAATTAGTGGGATTTTTTTCAAACATTCAAACACTCAAGGGTACTGTGTGTGACGGTAAAATTTGGCCAAGCAGGGTGCATATCAAAAAGTATTGTATTGTATTGTTCAATAGCTTGAAGCCTTGCTACTCATAGGCATATTTTTACAAAAATTTGTACAATGATAACAATGAAATAGAATAATCATAAAATATATTTGCTCCAGTGATCTCAAAAGTAGGTCAAAGTAATTCATTTGAACAAACTTGGAAGCACTTCGCTCCAGCATGCTACTGCCCAAAAATCATGACCCATGGCCTCTTGGTTATTGAGAAGAGATGAAAATGTAAATCGTCTCAAGTGACCTAAAAATATCAAAGCTGTGACTATTTCCTTTAGACAGAAGAAGATTATTGCTGCTCAATACCCATTACAGCCTATGTTAAACATTGGCTTTTTGGCGGGGCCCCAATTCTGACCCCAGGGGTCTGATTTGTACAAACTTGAATGGTCACCCTTAAGGTATATTAAAAGTAAAATATCAACGCTGTGGTTATTTCCTTTTTGTCAGAAGAAGATTTTTGTAGCTCAATACCCATTACAGCCTATTTTAAACATTGGCCTCTGGCCGTGGCCCCAATTCTGACCCGAGGGATCTGATTTGTACAAACTTGACTCCTTACCCTTAGGGTATGCTAAAAGTGAAATATACATCCAGCAGCCAATCGCAGTCTTAAGAAGAAGATTTTTTAAAGATTTAGTCAAATTTCCTATTTTTGGCCCCGCCCCTCAGTCCCCAGGGGGTCCAGCATTTTCTCTTGAACAAACTTGAAACCTCATTTCACAAATATACGTCAGAATAAATGTAGTCAAAATCTGTGCAGTAGTTCTTGAGATGAAGTCGAAAATGTGACCTAAAAATGTACAATCAAGTTGACAGTTGGACTCTCTCGATACTTTGAACCCCTCATGAACTGTCTAAGCTTTGTATTATGGATAACATTTATATCACCAGATATTTCATTTCCAGCCGGGTCAAAGCTGTGTGGGGTAGCAGACGTAATAAACAGTCTTAAGTAGACTTGTCTCACCTTTGTATATTAATATAACAGTGATACAATTGATACGGATAGCTTGGCCGTTGTCTCGTATATATGAATAGTGCCTTGCCCAAGTTCTTTATTTTTCGTAACATAACATACACTGTACCACAACGTGTCGTTAAGTAAGAACCACGACATACGATAATTAGACGTTGAGTGTGAACCACGGCATACAACAGCGTGTCGTTAAGTGTGAACCATGACATACAACAGCGTGTCGTAAAGTGTGAACCATGATATAGAACAGTTTGTTGTTAAGTGTGAACCACGACATACAACAGCGTGTCGTAAAGTGTGAACCACGACGTACAACAGCGTGTCGTAAAGTGTGAACCACGGCATACAACCGCGTGTCGTAAAGTGTGAACCACGGCATACAACAGCGTGTCGTAAAGTGTGAACCACGGCATACAACAGCGTGTCGTAAAGTGTGAACCATGATATAGAACAGTTTGTTGTTAGGTGTGAACCACGGCATACAACAGCGTGTCGTAAAGTGTGAACCATGATATAGAACAGTTTGTTGTTAGGTGTGAACCACGACATACAACAGCGTGTCGTAAAGTGTGAACCATGATATAGAACAGTTTGTTGTTAGGTGTGAACCACGACATACAACAGCGTGTCGTAAAGTGTGAACCATGATATAGAACAGTTTGTTGTTAGGTGTGAACCACGACATACAACAGCGTGTCGTAAAGTGTGAACCATGATATAGAACAGTTTGTTGTTAGGTGTGAACCACGACATACAACAGCGTGTCGTAAAGTGTGAACCATGATATAGAACAGTTTGTTGTTAGGTGTGAACCACGACATACAACAGTTTGTTGTTAAGTGTGAACCACGACATACAACAGCGTGTATGTGACCATGACATACAATAATTAGTCGTTAAGTGTGAACAATGACGTAAAACGGTTTGTAGTTAAGTATGAACAATGACATACAACCGAATGATGTTTAGTGTGAACCACGACACACAACAGTGTAATGTCAAGTGTGAACCACGACATATAACAGTTTAACGTTATATGTGAACCACGACATACAACAGTTTGTCGTTAAATGTGAACCATGAGATACAACAGAGTGATGTTTAGTGTGATCCAAGACATACATAAATGTGTAGTGAAGTGTAAACCATGACATATAACAGTTTGTCGTTAAGCGTGAACCACGACATATAACAGAGTGTTGTTTAGTGTGAACCACGACATACAATAGAGTGTTGTTTAGTGTGAACCACGACATACAACAGCGTGTCGTTAAGTGTAAACAATGACATATAACAGTTTGTCGTTAATCGTTAACCACGACATACAACAGAGTGTTGTTCAGTGTGAACCACGACATACAACAGTTTCTCGGTAAGTGTAAACAACGA